CAAGAGTCTGGACAAAGAAGATCACTACAAATACCTGGGCGTCCTTCAAGCTGACAACATCAAGCACGTTGAAGTCAAGAAGGTTAGGAGTGAATACCACATGAGAGTGAAGAAGACCTTAAAGTCCAAACTCAGTGGAGGAAATACCATCAAGGCAATTAACACCTGGGCATTCCAGTCATTAGATACACAGCTGGAATAGGGGACTGGACTCAAGCAGAACTAGAAGCCCTGGATTGGAAGAACAGAAAAATAATGACAATGAATCATGCCCTTCATCCATGCACCAACATTAACAGACTCTGCTTACCATGGAGCATACGTGGGCATGGAATGTACACCAGACAGTTGAAGACACCAAGTACACCAGACAGTTGACGAAAAAAGGGCATTAGGAGAATATCTGAAAGACAGTGAAGAAGATGCATTGAAACTAGTACACCATGAAGGCTAACTGAATACTGAAGAGACCAAACTGGCCTATAAGAAAGACCAAATGAAGAATAGAAAGGAGACATGGCAAGGCAAAGTATTACTTGGCCAACACGCGCACACACACACACAGTGAACATGCACAGATCTACTTTTCTGCAAAACTCTGGGTTTCTCCAAGTCTCTCAATACCATTGCTCATTCATGGCTGTTGTTATTTTGTCCCTGTAAAGCTTTGGAGAATTTAGTATATATGATTTTTTTACTTTTCAGAGTTTGACTTGAAGATCTCTTTGTTTTGGATTGGGGGGGGGGTGTTTATGATGTTTTTAATAATTACATTCTCCTTGTGTTTTTCTACCACACTTCCTTCTGCTCCATCCCTTCCTTTCTTGAATATATACACACACTTCCCTGACTTTTGCTCTTGATGCTTTTTTTACACTCTGTCACCTGTCATGGTTAAATGTTTTGGCATATTTTTACTTGTCTCTAACATAGAAACTTTGCCCACAGTGTTGAAAAAATACAGCTGTGTTTTCTGGAAAGCAAGGGAACATGTATTCCAGCTGCTTTTGTACTCAGATAAAACTCGTATTTTGCTAAAATAGAAGAAACCACATATAGAAACAAACTTTTCTCTGCTGGCAGCCCTTCAAATGTGTTGGGATTTTAATCTTCAGAATTTCACAGTTAGCATGCCAGTTAGGATTTGTGGAAGTTGAAGTCCCAGTGCAGTTGGAAGGCACTAAGTTGGAGAAAGCTGGTCTAGCTGGTTCGGGTATGTCTGATCAAGTGTATTATCAGGTTAAATGTTAAGTTAGAAGGGTTTATGTTTTGGAAACTCAAATGCCAGTGCCCAATGTTATGTGTGGTTAGGAAGGGTTTTACATGCAGATTTACACAGTTGAGGTCATGTCTACTCTCCTCTTATTACAGACTACTTAGCCATGATGGTGGGAACAGGAGATTAACTGATCTTCTAACACATTTTGACTAAAATCTGGTGGCTGGGTTTTAGAGTTCCTTGAAGCAGAGAACCATGCTAGAAAGATCCAAACTCCTGTCAAGTTCAAGGTGGAACTATAGGCAGGTACTACTTAATTCCAAATTAATGAAGCCAGTAACGATTGGGTTTACACATTGTGCTATATAGATATTTTTAAATTATGGCTTGTGGAGTAAGCTGTAGTGACTTGGTTCTATATAAAGCTAAGTCATCATAAGTGGATTCACACTGTATAGTCAGAAACGAAGCAGAATATGGATGAGTGCTATTTGTGAACAAGGTCAGTTTGTGTGAGTTCCCAGTGAGCTTTCAGAACGAATAAAATATTGTGATTTTGCAAATACTCCTTATAGCCCAGGTCTAGCTTCACGCTTGCTTACTCTATCTCATAATAGCTATTAAGATCTTGGGGAGAGGCCTTGAGTGGTATAGATTGTTTTGGAGATGGTATGTTTTTAATTATACATTAGGATTTTTTTTCTTTAATGTGAGCCACTTGGAGCTTTATCTAAGATCAGGAGGGATTAAATATGTTTTTTTGAAGCAAATGTAGAGAGGAAGAGCTATCAGGATATAAGTGGGGCAAGAGGGAGAAGGTGTCTTTGGCTCTAAGTGGTGTTTTATTTCCAAAGATTTTCATCCTTGCCTGGAAGTTACATTTTCTGAGTTGATTTTTTCCCATAAATACTAGGCATGTTTCAGCTAGTTGGGCCTGCTCAGTGACATGAGAAAGGCATTTTGCACATCCCAGGAAGGACTCTTGTCTTGTTCCAGAGGGGTTCTCAGCCACTGAAAATTAATTCCAGCATTTTTTTCCCCTGATGTATACTTGCTCACTATAAAGCCCTGTGACCACCACTTGTGGTGACCAGGAACATCACTGTTGTGATTTTCTCATTATCGGTATCTATTCTCAAGAAGTTTTATTTATGGAAATCACTGGCTCTATCAAACTACTTTGGGTATCAGAATGGAAACAATGAATGTACAGAATGGAAAGATTTATTGCTTTCTCTCTGTTACGAAGAATCTGTCTTCTACCTCCTGTAATCCAAAATAATGTTTCTCCCCTCTTCAGGCTGCTTGCTGGAGCTCCCCGTGATGTGTCTAACAAGTTGGATAATAACACACGGACGGGTGCCATGTATTCTTGTCTTTTGACTGCAGATCCCAATGACTGTACACGGGTGGACTTTCAGGTGAAAAGTATGTAAATGTGTGAATGGAGAACTTATCTGAGCAGGGTTGTAATGCTCTGTGGAAGATAGTGCAGGCTAACGGTTACAATCCACAGTGGTCTAATGGTTAGATAACCAAATGAAATATCTTCAGGAAGGGTAGACTTGTTTTACTCTGTTACACCAAAGCAACAAAGAGCCTGATGGCACCTTTAAGACCAACATCAGCCCATAGAAGCTACAACATGACTGGCTTCATTCATTCTGATTTTGAGTTTCTTTCCTGCCTCTTTGTTTGTTTGTTAAAGATTTGTTGTCTTCTTGCAGTTATGAAATTGGGGTTCCCTTAGTTAATTCTAAAGGATTGATGGTGGGTTTGGAATATGGCAGGAACGTGACTTATCGCCTTCTCTTAAAATACAAGAAATGATCTCTCCTTCTCATATCCCATCTCTTATGTATAAACAAATCTATAAAGCCTCATCGTTTTAGTTCTGAGGTCAACAAAAGTCCATTAAGGCTTACCAGAGATAACAACTTAGGTATTTTAACCTTGATCAAACAAACCAACTTTATATTCCTTCCTTTTGCTTCTAATAATCTTGATCTTTAGTCCCTTGAAATAATGTCCTAGCACTTGATTTTTTTTCATTTTTTCTTTGTCCCTTCTCACAAAATTCTTCAACGCTTTAACAAGACTCTTTTGTAAATCCAATATAGGAAAATTATCCAGGTCACTCTCTTGGTTTATTATTTGTATATCCCTTTTAATTATTGAGACATCAGCTTTCTTTTGTATATCCAGTGTAACATTTTTTCCATGTCATTCTTGTACCTGTCATTTTTAAATCCACTTTCAAATCAATTTCAAACTTGTCAGGTAAAACTTGTTCCTCTTCCATAACATCTTTTAAACACAAGCTATCTATAATGGCAGACTTTTTAAAAGTAACTTTTGGATCCATTGTTCACAAATATCCTTCAACGTTGTTAAAATATTTTGCTTCATTCTGTATTTGTAAGCCAAATTGAAGTATTCTTCTCCTTTAATTATAATATTTTGTTCCTTCTAGTGTCTAATTTTTAAAGTCTTATCTTACTATTTTTTTAAAAAATCAAAACAAAAGCATTTTCCCACAGGAAAGATTCTTTATAGTTAATTCCAAAATCTTATTTCAAATTTATCTGGACCCTTAGTGCATATGTAACTTTCTAAAATCAAAGTTTTAATCACTCTTTTGATGTTTGTTCAAAAAAAAAATTTAAGTCCTTAAACTTGTATTTAAAAAGTCTTTCGCTAAGGATTGAAGGAAACTCATGTGGTGCTATAAAACTAGTCGATCCAGAGGTTCCTAATAGCTGAAAAGCAGTTAACAAGCAATTTCTGAAAGTGATTAGAAAAGGAAGTATGCGAACCCAGTGTTCTTTGATAAGTAGAGGTTCCTAATAGCTGAAAAGCAGTTAACAAGCAATTTCTGAAAGTGATTAGAAAAGGAAGTATGCGAACCCAGTGTTCTTTGATAAGTTACTAAAATTGTTTATATTTGTTGTGATGAAGGGGGAAGTCATTTCTTTATATATTTCTTTTCCTTTTCTTTGCTGTATTCTTATTTTTTCTTTCTTTTCTATTTTTCTATTTTTTTCTTCTCTGTACCTTCTATTTTTTCTTTTCATTCTTTTCCTTTCTTTTTAGTTTGCATTACTTTTTATTGTTGCAGTTGTAATTTTTAATAAAATTACTATATAAAAAAAGAAATATGGCAGGAATGTGGATCCTTTCCTAATTGTATTTATCCTTTGGGGGGTTGTTTTTTGGCTCCTTGTACTTTTAGGTGAACCCCGAAATAATATTGTTGAAGACATGTGGTTGGGGGTGATGGTAGCAAGCCAGAGTAAATCTGGGCGAGTGATGGTGAGTATAATATATATGAGAGGAGATGATTTCTCCTGCTTTTGAATCTTCCGTTCTTCCTTAAGTCATCAGTTGGGCTAATGATGTGCATCAGAGAGAATCAGTGGTGCGGGAAACTGGACCAAAAATATCATATGCTAATCCAGTTTTCCTAGGCTTTCTTGGCTGTTTGTCCCACATGCTGCTATAATGCCATACCATTTTCCCCCATACCTACTTCAGAGCTCTGATGGCCAGTGACAGGGATGGGAAAAACATACAAGAACATTAACAGAGGCTTGCTGGATCTAACCAAAGGGTTTCCTTTGTGGATAGAGAACTTGGTTTCCTTGTGCTTAGACCCCTGCTGCATGTTTTATATGGGGCTGCCCTTGAAGCTGACTTGGAAGTTGCAAATGGTTCAAAATACAGCAGCCCAAGTACTGACTGGAGAAGGTAGGTTCAGCAGTGTGACAGCTATGTTGAGGTTGCTGCATTGGTTACCAATGGGCTTCCAGGGCCAATTCAAAGTGCTGACTTTAACTTTTAAAGCTGTACATGGCTTGGCACCCATGTATTTGCAGGATAGACTTTTTCAGTCCTGTGCTTTCATCCCAAGAGGGCCTACTATGGGTTCCTACCATACACAAGGTTAAAATGGGATCCCAGAAGTGTACCTTCTTGGTGGCAGTCTCCACAATATGTGTCATGAGCCACAATTCAAAGTCTGACTCTGACTCTGATTCTGACCACGTTGCTCCAGCTGTTCAGCCACAGGCATCTCCTGATCAGCTGGAGCAATCAGATGACAAGGCACAACCCATAAGCCCCAGACACACGCAGAGGTTAGCAGAGCATCATCAATCAAGGACACTCCTTGCAAGGCAAAGGGTGAGGCCTGAATAATTGCAGTCAGCTGCCAGCAGAGAGATTTATGTAG